ATATTTTTTCACTCCAGAAGTATGTTCAGGTGCCAGTACTGACCGAATTTGTTCCCATAAGGAATATTTTGAAGTAGATTAGTCCATTTCAGACCCCCAAACATACACGTACAAACGCACTTACATAAATACACTTACATAATTGGTCGCATTCGGAGGTGATCGTTATGCGGGGGTCCACTGTATACACCCCTCTGGGTTTTCTTCTATTTCCTTACTAGTTCTTGTTCATGTTTCTTCTCATCTCCATGGGGAAGTAGAACAGAATTCTTCCTCCCTAAGCCATATGTGTTGTAAGAGGCCACTAAAATGCTGGGAGCAAGGGGCTAGTAACAAAAACATAGTAAACCTTCGTAAATTGCAGGATCATAGCTTTTTAATATTCTGCAATTTAATTATATTTTTAAACCATACCACGGGTGGGGATAGAACCCGCGATCAGTCTCAAAACTCCAGACCGTGTCATTACGATTTCATGACCCATGTTTAATTATATTTTTCATTTCAGGGTAAAATTAGTACAGGTCGGCCATCACTAATCCAGCAATCAGTAATTAAGTTCCATCAGTAATCCGGCAATAATTTTGGCTAGCATAATTTCAAATTTCCAGGGTCGCCACATCCATCTGCTGCTACTGTTTGGTGGTGCTACTTGCTACATAAGTCATTCCAATTTATTGTTTCCATTTACTGCTAAAACCTCCTCACTTTTAGCTCTAGCCATGGTTCCAACGAATAAAAGAAATGCTTCTTATTGTGTAAAGCACATATGTACACCATAGGTTGTCCATAAAAGGTAAGGTGGCTTTGAAGCCACTGTTGGTCGCCATGAGCTCAGCACACTCAGATAAGCTGTGACTAGTAAATTTGGGTGCCTACATATGAAAGAATAGGTCTGTGTGGTAAGTGTGCACTATATAAGAAAATTCTGCAGCATGCATAGTGAGAAAAAAGCTGAGACCATGTTTTTGGTGCAAAACTGAGTTTGCGGTGAATTTTTGTATGGTTTTTATTGTTGTATTCTCTTTTTCTCGTCTCATTTGACAGAATGGAAGATATATTACAGAAATAGATATGATTTTGATTGGTTTCACAACAGAAAGTACCTTGAAATTGAGCTCAGACTAGCGGAAATGTTCGATTTTCGCCGATGTTCAAGAGTAAACAAGTGACGTCACCATCCAATACGTGTCCAACTGGCCGGTCTAATACACACCCACGAATGGCTTGACATTATTTATACAATTATTACAATAATGCAGCAGTCTATATAACAGTAAATCTTTTATTTTTGGTGTGAGTAAAAATTCAAAATGGAAACCAAGCGTAATATAAGAGGGGCCTGGAGATGTGACTAATGAACAGAGAAAATGTTATTTTAGTGCCAGGAATGTCTGCACTGTTTTTTTCTGAACCCTGTTTTGAAACTGGCATCTCTTGAAATTTGTATGAAATTGGCCAAATTACCAATTTCTGACCACTTTACTGGATAGTTGAAATATGAAATATGTAAATATTTCAACTGACAGAACAGAAGGAACACTAGCGAAATAGTTATGAGTTTGGTAGACTGGAACAATGGAATGGGCCAAAAATAGGGCATAAAGTGGGTGAAATCACCAATGCATAAACATCCCCATTGGGCTAAGTGTATTCTAACCTAACCACTCTGTAATCCAGCAAAATCACTAATCTGGTACCCTACAGGTCCCAATGGTGCCAGATTAGTGATGGTCAACCTATACCATTATGGGACACTTCATTATGGAGTGTCCCATAATGGAGGGTACCTCCATTCCTCGGGCAAGACAAATGTTTTGGTGTGAGTGAGGCCTAACATCACTGCTCAGTAAACAAACTAGTTGTCAGTCTCTGAACACACATCATAAGACAGCCTCTCTGTGATTATCCTCTCTATTTTCATTCAAATCATCACCTCGCTCTGTCTCTGGATATTAATCATGGCACTCAAAAGAAATAAAAGTGATGCCAAACAGACAATTAGGCAGGAAACTCTTACAATTTCTAAGAAAACGGGCTAACATTGTGGTTAGAGTAAAGGTGAGAAGTGGTGGTTGTTACAGCTGATAGATTACTCACACAATTAGTATAATACATAATTACACATTCTTGTGCTTTAAACAGTCATTTACTTATGCTAGCAGCATTTATATAATTGTTGCATATGTTAATGATTGATAATGGTGTGAAAATGTTATTGAAAGAGAAAATTGTAGTGTTTAAAATGTAGTGAAGATGAAGGCCGCATGTGGAGACCACAGTTAAGATTAAAGATTAATTATTTCAATGTGATACAATGTTTGCACAAAGATGGGTGATATTTAGGTGTGCATGGAAAAAGCCCCTTAGTATGCAGAGTATTTCAGGCTATTCTGGCCAATACCTGGAGGTTACCTGGAGGTTATTCCGGGGATCAACGCCCCCACGGCCCGGTCCATGACCAGGCCTCCCGATGGATCAGGGCCTGATCAACTAGGCTGTTACTGCTGGCCGCACGCAGTCCGACGTACGAGCCACAGCCCGGCTGATCCGGCACTGACTTTAGGTATCTGTCCAGCTCTCTCTTGAAGGCAGCCAGGGGTTTATTGGCAATTCCCCTAATGCTTGATGGGAGGCTGTTGAACAGTTTTGGGTCCCGGACACTTATGGTGTTTTCTCTTAGTGTACCAATGGCGCCCCTACTTTTTATTGGCGGCATTTTGCATCGCCTGCCCAGTCTTTTACTTTTCGTAGGGAGTGATTTCTGTGTGCAGATTTGGGACCATTCCTTCCAAGATTTTCCAAGTGTAGATTATGATATATCTCTCCCTCCTGCGTTCCAACGAGTACAAGTCAAGTGCTTCCAAGCGTTCCCAGTAGTTAAGGTGCTTGACAGAACTTATACGTGCAGTAAAGGATCTCTGTACACTCTCTAGATCTGCGATTTCACCTGCTTTGTATGGAGATGTTAATGTACAGCAGTATTCCAGCCTAGAGAGAACAAGTGATTTGAAAAGGATCATCATGGGCTTGGCATCTCTCATTTTGAAAGTTCTCATTATCCATCCTATCATTTTCTTTGCACGTGCGATCGTGGCACTGTTGTGATCCTTGAAAGTGAGATCCTCAGACATTACTACTCCCAGGTCCCTTACATTATTTTTCCGCTCTATTGTATGGCCGGAGTCAGTAGTATACTCTGTTCTAGTTATTATCTCCTCCAGTTTTCCATAACGGAGTAGTTGGAATTTGTCCTCATTGAACATCATATTGTTTACCGTTGCCCACTGGAAAACTTTGTTTATATCTTCTTGGAGGTTAACCGCGTCCTCAGCAGATGATAGCCTCATGCAGATCCTAGTATCATCCGCAAAGGATGATACGGTGCTGTGGTGTATATCTCTGTTTATGTCTGATATGAGGATAAGGAATAAGATGGGGGCGAGTACTGTGCCTTGTGGAACAGAGCTCTTCACTATGGCAGCCTCCGATTTAACTCTGTTGACCACTACTCTTTGTGTTCGATTTGTTAGGAAGTTGAAGATCCATCTCCCCACTTTCCCAGTTATTCCTTTAGCACGTATTTTATGGGCTATTACGCCATGATCGCATTTGTCAAATGCTTTTGCAAAGTCTGTGTATATTACATCTGCATTCTGATTTTCTTCCAGTGCATCCAAGGCCATGTCATAGTGATCCAGTAGTTGTGAGAGGCAGGAGCGACCTGCCCTGAACCCATGTTGCCCTGGATTGTGCAGATTTTGGGAATCCAGGTGATTTGCAATCCTGCTTCTTAGCACTCTTTCAAAGATTTTTATGATGTGGGATGTCAGAGCTATTGGTCTATAGTTCTTAGCTAATGCTTTGCTGCCACCTTTATGGAGTGGGGCTATATCCGTTGTTTTAAGTGACTGTGGAATTTCACCCATGTCCAAGCTCCTCCTCCATAGTGTACTTAGGGCACGCGAGAGGGGTTTCTTGCAGTTCTTAATGAAAACAGAGTTCCACGAGTCTGGGCCCGGGGCTGAGTGCATAGGCATGTTGTCAATGGCTTTTTCGAAATCTATCGGAGTTAGGGTAATGTCGGAAATCTGGCATACATTTATGGAGTTTTGAGGCTCATTCATGAAGAAATCATTTGGGTCGTCGATCCTCAGACCGATTAGTGGTTCACTAAACACAGAGTCGTACTGGGATTTCAATATTTCAATATTTCACATCGACTATATCTATACACTTCTGTAGTGACAAGGAGCAACGAATTGAAGGTAAGGTAAAACTCATTTTTTGTCACTTTTCATCCTGTTTCAAACAAGAATATGTGAAAAAAAAAAAAAAAATTTCAACAAGTCGGCCGTCTCCCACCGAGGCAGGGTGAATATATAATCCTGAACATAAAATACTGAATATATAATATTGAGTGCTGCTAGTTTTGAGGGTCATTTATGCTCATGCTTCCCACTTTCTCTGGTAAAAATATGCTATCTTCAGTTAATAACCTCTATTAAATTGAAAATGGCACTAGTTGGTGAAACCTGTTCAAAATAAAGATATCCAGGTGTTGCACATGTGGTATTCTATACCAATGTTATCAAAGAAATAAACTCTTACAATGAGTCAACAACCAGCCTTCCTCAGGCCTTAGAAATGGAGGTCTGTTGAACACAACCCTATTTTTCCCATGTTTTCACTCCATTAATTGCGGAAATTACAGGTAACTATTTTCAGGAACAAAACCAATGTGAATTATGAATGTTCAGTGTAAAAATATCTGTCTCCCTTATACAGACAGGTTTGCCTACCATATAAAAACAGGAGGTCTGTTATCCCTAAATAGGTCTGTCTATCCTGTATAAGATAATTTTCATGTAGATTTGTTCCAGCACATTAACATCTTAATAATTTGCAAATATGAAAACCAAAATAAAATTGGAAGTTCCTTTTAATAACACTGATAAATATTATTCCAACACTGCCTAAGTAGTGGCCATTCAACAAACCTGATTATCATTGTAGGGTTGTTTTCCATCTGGAGTGGGTGGGGGTCGTCGGCGCTGGGGTGTTGCTTTTTGCTGTATCCCACTTAGCGCCAAAAAGTAACCTGAAACATGTCGATATAGTATTTATAAGGATCATCTTCTAGTATATTTTTCATTTCCCTCCAAGGAGGTGTGACCCAGAGAAGAAAACACAATCACCATCACTCATCCTTTCTAAGAGTTAGACTTCAGATTATCATTAAAGTAATTACATATTCAGTTTTTGCAAGTACATACAGTATCATTAAGAAGAAACATGTAAATTCACATGATATATAACAAGATATAGGTAAAAACTACATGGGAAAGTGGAGAAGACTCCTTCTTCCATAAGCCGTGTGTGTCATAAGCAGCAGCTAAAATGCTGGAATTATTGAATGTAAAACGGAGAAAAACTTTCTGAAAGTGTTTCTTCTTTTATTAGGTCACCCTGGTTTGTTAGAGACTTCTGCACCAACCTTCATCAGATGTGGATGTCTTGCTCTCGCCTGAGTACCAGTGACAAATTTCCCCTGCTCTCTCTGGGACGCTTGTCCTCATCCACTTTGCCCGCTGGGCACATTACGGGAGGGGCACCTCTCATCGACTTACTTTTAGCCAGTTCCATTTTCCCACCCTGCGGATAATCTTTAACAGTTTTGGTGGGAAGCCAGTTACTGAACACAGGTGTGGTGCAGGTGTTCCATTCTGCTGGGGCCTGGCAAGGGAGTCCACCTGATTCAACTGGGAGCTTCTAATTCCTGTTATTATTTACCTAGGAACTCTTGTTCCTTTTTCTATCAATGCCCAGCTTTGGGCAACAAATCTTCCCCATACATTGGGAAGTCGGGCTTGATATGGCTTAAGCCGTCAGACTTCCCCAAAGCCACAACAGATTCCACAACAGGTGTAGGGTTGTCAAGTTTACACTAACTTATATTAAGTTAGTAATAGAACTAGGCATTAAAACACAATAAAAAGTAAAATACATACACAGTACATTCATTACTTACCTTGAAATATTTGTAGTCTTAATGTAGGGTAAGACGTGAGTAGTATTTATTTGTAGTCCCAGGCAGATTACATCTGCCAGGGCTATACCTACCAGCTACATACACTGCGGCCCAAAGCCATATTATTACCATCGACATACCATGTTCACTGACTCTAATCGTTTCTAACAACTACATATAGATACCATCATAAACAAAGGGAGAAGTAATGAATAATTCATGCCGAGAATTGTAAACAAAAGTGTTATGTAAAGTGTATTAAGGGTGGTGACTGGGCCAGACGCAGATTCATACAGTTTTCTTTAACGCTAGACCAGAGAAAACAATGTTGTCCCTCCACCGATTCACCCCTTGATAGCACATAAACATTGCATGCTTATATGCTGTGTAATGTGTTTCTTATATAATTTTGAAGAAAATATAAATAGATTAATGAAAATGTCTACATTAATATAAAATAAGACATTTAATGTGCCCAAAAGTGATTACTTTTAAACATACATCGCATATAAACATTGCATATTTATATGCTATGTAACGTGTTTCTTACATAATTTTGAAGAAAATATCATAGATGGATTAATGAAAATTTCTATATTAACGTAAAATAAGACATTTAGTGTGCCAAAAAGTGAGTCACACATGTATGAGCAGCTCAGGTGGACGCATCTGATACATACGATTTCCGAGTGGAGGTACAAAATCCGGACCAAAATTTCACCCAAAAAAGTGGTCTAAATCCAAAATGTACGATATTCGGTGCAAATGAAATCCGGAGTTCCACTGTATTTCTTCAATTGTTTATTTCAAATTGTATTTGTATACTGTATACCTATTCATTATGTATACAAATTAAAATGAAATCTACTAGAACCACTAATGCTTAAAGCTGCTACTGAATTATTATGAGGACAGAGTGACACTACTTGACTATATGGAAACATTTTAAAATGTATACATTAAACACCAACAAATAAAATAGGCTTTTGTATCAGAGAATAATAAAGGAAAAGCAATTCACTTTAGTTGTAGAGCTAAATGAAAAATAAAACAAATTATATATTAGAGATTTTATATGCTGTCAATGTGAGCAGAATAACATCTATGAAGGACTTCAAAGAAACCTGTTCACCAGATTTGCAGTCTGGAGATGGGAAATACAGTGCCTCCACTCCGAAGGATAGCTGAGGATGTTGCAGTGTCAAGGGTAATTTGAACTGTAATACCTGCACACATCTGACAAAACAGAAACTGAATGAGTACTGTTGCATGTGTTTCCTTCCTTGAATCACCCCGCCCTAGTGGAGATGACCGACATGGAAAAATGCTGACTACAGGCATACCTCATTAATACAGTGCTTGCTTCAGAGTGTTTTGCTAACAGAGTGCTTGTCAATTATATTCATGTTTACAATTTTTGGTGCTTGCTTTGCTCTTAAGATGGTTTTCAGCAATTTGAAAAAAAATAGCCATTACTTTTTACTTTTGCATTGTTTTTTAGGCATAATGCTACTGCGCACTTAACCCTTAAACGGTCCAAACGTATATATGCGTTTTTTCAACTTCCGAAAATATGTAAAAAAATGTAGATCTTCTTTTTTGTTTTACATTTGAAAACGTATAAAAAAAACTTTAATCTACATTATTTTTTTTTTGTTATATTTGAAAATATGTAAAAAAAAAGTAGATCTACTTTTGTAGCACTACAAATTTGAACGTTGATCTGTTTGGACCGTTTAAGGGTTAATAAATCATAGCATAAACATATTTTTAGGCTTTTATATGCACTGGCAAGTGAGAAAAAGGCTGTGATTCACTTTACAGTGGCAGTCTGGAACCTAACCTGCCGTATTAGAGAGGTATGCTTATACAGTGGACCCCCGCATAGCGACCTTAATCCGTGCAAGAGGGCTGGCTGTTATGCGAAATGTTCGGTATGCGAATGAATTTTCCCCATAAGAAATAATGGAAATCAAATTAATCCGTGCAAGACACCCAAAAGTATGAAAAAAAAATTTTTACCACATGAAATATACATTTTCCTACACACAAAGAGAAGGATACATGCACAATAGTAGAGTAGTACATGCACAATATATATTGTGCATGTACTACTCTACTAAATGAAGAATAAATGACACTTACCTTTATTGAAGATGCAGCAATGACTGATGAGACACTGTGTCCTGGGAGTGCCTTTTCCTCCTGAGTACTGTAGGTCCTGTTTGGTATTTTCTTCCAGAACAGGCCTTATCACACTGTGTATGTCACTACGATTCTTAAATCTCTCAAACCAACCTTTGCTGGCTCTAAATTCACCAATATGAGCACTAGTTCCAGGCATTTTCCCTGTTCACCTGGGTGTTAGTTGACTGGTGTGGGTTGCATCGTGGGAGACAAGATTAAGGACCCCAATGGAAATAAGTTAGACAGTCTTCGATGACACTGACTTTTTTGGGCTATCCTGGGTGGCAAATCCTCTGGGGTTGTTTCTTGGTATGTATTCTCAATAAGCCACACCAACAACGGTGCTACAGCAGCAGCAGCAGCTGACGGTGGTACAGCAGCAACAGACGATGCTACAGCAGCAGCAGACGATGCTACAGCAGCAACTGACGATGTTACAGCAGCAGCAGACGATGCTACAGCAGCAGCAGCAGCTGACGGTGGTACAGCAGCAACAGACGATGCTACAGCAGCAACAGACGATGCTACAGCAGCAGCAGACGATGCTACAGCAGCAGCAGACGATGCTACAGCAGCAGCAGACGATGCTACAGCAGCAGCAGACGATGCTACAGCAGCAGCAGACTGTACTACAGCAGCAGGAGCAGCTGACGGTGGTACAGCAGCAGCAGCTGACAGTGCAGCAGCAGCTGACAGTGCAGCAGCAGCTGACGGTGGTACAGCAGCAGCAGCTGTACCACCAATAGTAGCGATGGTTGATTGGGGTTTATTATACAACCTGGCCAGCTCGGAGACACGCACTCCACTTTCATACTTATCAATGATCTTTTTCTTCATCTCCATAGTAATTCTCACCCTTATTGCTGTAGGGTTGGCACTAGAAGCTTTCTTGGGGCCCATGGTCACTTATTTTCCAGAAAAAAATCACCAAAAACACTGTAATAATACGAAATGTTCCGATTGTATGCTTGGATGTTACCGCGGAGGCTGGCTGGTAAACAATGCCACCGGCGGAACATGTGAGCGTGGCTCAGGCCGCACATTGGACGCGTCTCGGACAAAGGGCGCTGAGCGGGTTTTTGGGCGGTATGCAAGGCAAAATTTTAGCGATCAAAGCGTCCGGTATGCGGATTGTCCGTTATGCAAGGCGTCCGGTATGCGGGGGTCCACTGTACAGTGGACCCCTGAGTTTCGTGATTAATCCGTTCCAGAGAGCCTGCTGAATGTCGAAATTGCCGAATGGCGAAACCATTTTCCCCATAAGAAATAATGGAAATAAAATTAATCCGTTCCCAACACCCAAAAATATTAAAATAAAATATTTTTTTCAAATTAAATAAAGATTTACATACTGAAAACAATGAGAAATCAAGTACATACATATAAAAAATAATAACAACATTATACTTACCTTTACTGAAGACTTCTAGGTGGATGGAAGACGGGAGGAGGGGATAGGAGGAAGGTGTACACTATTGTTTGAAAGGAGAATCTCCTTCCATTAGGACTTCAGGTATGAAGTCCTTATCTGGGGTTACTTCCCTTCTTTATTTTTTAAAGACACTGGGAACACCTTGAGAGTCACTGGACCCCTGTCACACAAAATATCTGTCCAGAGAGCTCTGTTTCTGGCATTTCTTTAAGATTTGTCTGAAGTGGGACACAACACTGTCATTGTACATGTTGCCAATATGGCCTGCAACAGCTTTGTTAGGGTGAAGTTCATCCATAAATGTCTGCACTTCAGTCCACTTTGCACAAATGTCCTTAATCTTTGAAGAAGGCACCTTCCTCCGCCTCTCTTCCTCCTCCTCTGCAGCAGTTTCCTGAGCTGTGATCTCTTGCTGTTGCAGATGAAGCTCTTGCAGCTCTGCAGTGGTTAGCTCTTCCCTGTGGTCCTCCACCAACTCTTCCACATCCTCACCACTCACCTTCAACCCCAGGGACATCCCCAATGCCACAATAAATTCCACAACTGGCATAGGCTCCTTAGGGTCAGCCCCAAACTCTTCAAAATCCCTCTCTTGTACACATTCTGGCCACAATTTTCTCCAAGCAGAGTGCAAAGTCCTGGAAGTCACTCCCTCCCAAGCCTTACCTATAAGGTTTATGCAATGGAGGATATTAAAGTGATCTTTCCAGAACTCTCTTAGGGTCAATTCAGTGTCTGAGGTCACTTCAAAGCACTTTTGAAACACTGCTTTGGTGTACAGTTTTTTGAAGTTTGAAATGACCTGCTGGTCCATGGGCTGGAGGAGAGGAGTTGTATCAGGGGGCAAGAACTTCACCGTGATGAAACTGAACTCCTCCACTATTTGCTCTTCCAAGTCTGGAGGATGAGCAGGAGCATTGTCTATAACCAGGAGGCACTTGAGTGGCAGTTTATTTTCCAGGAGGTATTTCATCACACTGGGGCCAAACACTTCATTAAACCAGTCTAGGAAAATTCCCCTTGTGACCCATGCCTTATTGTTAGCCTTCCACATCACACACAAATTACTCTTAGCAACATTGTTTTTCTTGAACACTCTGGGATTTTCAGTGATACACCAGTAGAGGCTTCACTTTGCAATCCCCACTAGCATTACTACAAAACATGAGAGTGAGCCTATCCTTCATAGGCTTGTGTCCTGGGAGTGCCATTTCCTCCTGTGTGATATAGGTCCTCTTTGGCATTTTCTTCACAATTAAACACTTGTTGGGGTTTGAATTCTCCAGTGTCTACGCACTCCTTAAACTCCTGTACAAAGCTGCTTTTTTGTCAGAACTGGCAGCCTCACCATGCCTTATCACATTGTGAATGCCACTACACTTCTTAAATCTCTTAAACCAACCTTTGCTGGCCTTAAAATCATAAGCATCACCACTTGTTGCAGGCATTTTCTTTACGAGATTGTCATGCAACTGCCTTGCCTTTTCACACATTATCGACTGCATAATACTATCTCCTGCTACCTGTTTTTCGGTAATCCACACCAACAATAACCTTTCCACTTCTTCGAGGATTTGCGATCTCTTTTTTGTCAGCATATCTACCCCTTTTGCAACAACAGCACACTTTATATTCTTTCCCTTCGCCACGATCAAAGTGATGGTTGAATAGGGTTTGCCATATATCCTGGCAAGTTCTGTAACACGCAATCCGTTCTCATATTTTTCAATGATTTTTCAATGATTTCGATCGTGTTCCTCACTTTCTTTACCAAAGGGCTTGCACTAGGTTTCCTTGGGCCCATGGTGACTTATTTAGCAGTTGCAATCACAAAAAACAATGGATTATAACGAAATGTTTTGCATGAACCCGTGGGGTGATGGCCAAGTGTTGATAAACAATGGCACACTGAGTGTGAATGGTGCGGGAGACTGGCTTTGTGTGCGCGGTGACGGGCGGACGGGTACCAGACGGTCACCGAATCACGAGTCTAGCGAAATAGTTATGATTTTTGTCGACCGGAATTGGCCGAAAATAGGGCTCAAAGTGGGCAAAATCGCCGATGCGTAAACATCGTCGAGACCGCTAACTTCGCAACATCATAATTCCGTAAGTTTTCTATCAAATTTCATACTTTTGGTGTCATTATGATCGGGGAAAGATTCTCTATCTTTTCACAAGAAAAAAATCTTTTTTTTTTTTTTTTTTTGAAATTTGGGCAATCCTGAGAACAAGTCTGGGAGAGGGTCTGGGGACCCTGAAAGGGTTAATGTACACCAAAAATGAAAGAAATCGGACCATAAATAAGGGAAGTCACTTCTCAGCCATTAGCTGCCCCTTAGCGGTATTTTCGTATTTTTTTATGGTTGTGTCAGCGCATGGGTCTATGAAAGATGAGGTGAATCATAGAATTGATGAGGGGAAAAGGGTGAGTGGTGCATTTAGGAGTCTGTGGAGACAAAGAACTTTGTCCTTGGAGGCAAAGAGGGGAATGTATGAGAGTATAGTTTTACCAACTCTCTTATATGGGTGTGAAGCATGGGTGATGAATGTTGCAGCGAGGAGAAGGCTGGAGGCAGTGGAGATGTCATGTTTGAGGGCAATGTGTGGTGTGAATATAATGCAGAGAATTCGTAGTTTGGAAGTTAGGAGGAGGTGCGGGATTACCAAAACTGTTGTCCAGAGGGCTGAGGAAGGGTTGTTGAGGTGGTTCGGACATGTAGAGAGAATGGAGCGAAACAGAGTGACTTCAAGAGTGTATCAGTCTGTAGTGGAAGGAAGGCGGGGTAGGGGTCGGCCTAGGAAAGGTTGGAGGGAGGGGGTAAAGGAGGTTTTGTGTGCGAGGGGCTTGGGCTTCCAGCAGGCATGCGTGAGCGTGTTTGATAGGAGTGAATGGAGACAAATGGTTTTTAATACTTGACGTGCTGTTGGAGTGTGAGCAAAGTAACATTTATGAAGGGGTTCAGGGAAACCGGCATCCCGGACTTGAGTCCTGGAGATGGGAAGTACAGTGCCTGCACTCTGAAGGAGGGGTGTTAATGTTGCAGTTTAAAAACTGTAGTGTAAAGCACCCTTCTGGCAAGACAGTGATGGAGTGAATGATGGTGAAAGTTTTTCTTTTTCGGGCCACCCTGCCTTCGTGGGAATCGGCCAGTGTGATAATAAAAAAACAAAACAATAACACACGTAAAATAATAATGTACTACATAATAAGGCCATCAATAGATGGCAGTGAATACCACAACAATGCGGGAGCAGTTATGGGCACCTCCACCTGTCACATGACGTTTTTTATTCATTCTAGAGTATATATCAGGTTTCTATGTTATTTATATTGTTTATGTCATATTAGATGAATTGTGGTTGATAAATAAGCCATATAGATGATATTAGCGAAATACTGAAGTATCTTGTCATGCCTCCTGAGAGTCGGAATGGATTAATTGCATTTCAATTAATTTAAATGAGGAAAATTGACTCTGCAAACGAGCAAATCCAGATGTGAGTAAGGCCATGGAACGGAATAAACTCTTAAGTAGATGTTCCACTGTAGTTCTATTTGATGGCCATTAAAAGGGTTAATATGCAGTAAACTCACAACGTAAGAGGCTAGGGGTGGGGGACTGTTCAAGTGTCCAATAAATAAGAATGTTTAACCCTTAAATGGTCCAAACGTATATATATGTTTTTTCAACATCTGAAAGTATGTAAAAAAATTTAGATCTTTTTTTTTTGTTTTACATGTGAAAACGTGTAAAAAAACTTTTATCTACATTTTTTTGTTATATTTGAAAATATGTAAAAAAAAGTAGATCTACTTTTGTAGCACTACGAATTTGAACGTCGATCTGTTTGGACCGTTTAAGGGTTAAAAATAACAAAAAAAAAAAAATGCACCTAAATGCTCTACTGTGCACCAAATACATATAATACTGTACCCTCAATTTAGTTATACTATTAAAACAAGCACTGAAAATAAATGAGTTAAAAGTACAGAAAAGAAGATATAATTTCAAATTTGGAAAAAAAATTAATGCAGTACTGTACAGACATGACAAAACATTTCACAATGCTAGACATGCACTGTATATGTAATTACCGTGTAACTGGAAACTTAAATTTAGTGAAAGTTTCTATGACTCATACAAAATTTAACTTTTACAATGTTTTATACAGTACAGGAAATTTATGTAAAATTTAACCTGTGTTAGCCCAATTAAGTCAAGACCATGACAATTTAAATTCAAAATATAGTGGTACCTCAGGATATGAACTTAATTCGTTCCAGAAGGCTGTTCAAGTGCCGATACCGAACGAACTTGTTCCTATAAGGCAGTGGTTCCCAAACTGGGGGTAAATTACCCCCTGGGGGTAATTTAACCATTTTTGGGGGGTAATGGAGGGGTGACAGAAAAAAGTTATGAATTCTGAAAATCAAGAAAACAATGCGGTACCCGGTATGAGGATTATTGTTAACTTTGTCTTAGTATATAAAGTTGTAAAGTAAACCTATTATAAGTTTATTTATTTAGTAATTTTTATTTTTTTAATAAAGTAATAAAGTAATAAAGTTAAACCAAATAACAATAAACATCAAAAACTAATATACAGTATTAGAAAAGAAGAAATACAGTGGACCCCCGCTTAACGATCACCTCCAAATGAGACCAATTATGTAAGTGTATTTATGTAAGTGCGTTTGTACGTGTATGTTTGGGGGTCTGAAATTGACTAATCTACTTCACAATATTCCTTATGGGAAAAAATTCGGTCAGTACTGGCACCTGAACATACTACTGGAATGAAAAAAGTTCGTTAACCGGGGGTCCACTGTATATAGCTAAGTGTGTGGAAACCCAAAAGTATTTTGACAAGTATGCTTCAGGAAAAAAGTCACTCAGTAGCCCAGATCGACCTGTCCAGTACGCGTCACTCACTTCCTGAGGCTGCCTCTATTTCACACTGTCAGTTTATCTGTGAGCATCAGCCGAGGTAGACATAAGCTGGTATGTATGTGTACTGCCCTGTGCAGTATATAGTTAGTATTTACCCACTGTTACTGTGAATTTGTAGCTATTATTAATTTTATATATAATGTATGTGTGGTTCTTACGTTTTCAATGGTTTTGCTAGGATTAGCAGAGTATGCGAGGCTGTATACGTTCACTGTAGTCTCGCGCTACACGGTGCTCTTGTGCTGACAAGCATCATACTTGCAGCCTGACAATTTTGAATGTATGCGTGTGTGCTTGCATCAGTGAACTTGTGTTAGCTGCCATGCGAGAAATTATGTACCTTGCATTTTGCAGTGTATGCATGGATATTCTTCTTTTTCTGCAGATTGAACAAGAAAATGTCCAAAAAGTGCACCTACACTGACGCCTTTCTTCGCCATGGCTTTGTGAATTTAACTTCTGGTGGAGAGGATCGGCCACAATGTGTGGCATGTCACAAAGTGTTGACAAATGAAAGCCTCAAGCCATCAAAACTCTCAGCTCACCTCCAGAAGTGCCATCCAAATCTTCAAAATAAGGGTCAGGCTTATTTTCAGCGCCAGGCTGTAGCACTGAAGAATATCCAGTTCGGCTCATCTGGAATTCAAGCCCAAAAGCTTCAAGCTGCGGTCGAAGCATCCTACTGTGTTGCATATAAAATTGCCGAACAACAGAAATGCCACACCATTGCAGAGAATCTGATTATGCCTTGTGCATACGAGATGGTAAGCAAGGTATGTGGGGAGGATCAAGTGAAGAAACTGAGTGTCATATCTCTATCAAACAACACCATCCGCCGACGAGTCGATGACATGGCATCAGATATCCTGTTCCAAGTTACAACAAAGATCAAGGAAAGCTCATATGGCAAATTCTCCTTGCAATTTGATGAATCGTGTGACGTAGCTAGTTGTGCTGTTCTCCTTGGGTTCGTCCGTTACGTCCACCAGGACAAGATCAAAGAAGAGTTCCTATTATGCGAGGATCTGCTGACAACCACAAAGGGAGAAGATGTCTTCAATATCATCAACAGTTTCTTTACCAAGAATGGATTGGATTGGAACAGCGTTCAACAGGTAGGAAACGATGTTTATATAAAGTCTAAATTAGTATAAATACAATGAATTACACGGCATATAGTCATATACAGTTTTATTTATTGTACAAGTAACTGTAGTGTAGCTAATATTTTGTACATGATTCACACAAAAAATATCGTGCCTGTCGTACTGAAATACTCAAGTACCAAAATAATTAATTAAAACCATATAATTATAACGCAAAAGATAAGTAACAATGACTAACTGACGCAGTCTATAATAATTTTTCTTTTTATTCCAGGTCTCCGTCGATGGAGCACCGTCGATGATGGGTGGTCATCGTGGATTACGGGGCCTCATATAAGCTATCAATCCAGAAATTTCTGTAGATCACTGCATCATTCATTGGTACTCTCTTGGATCGAAAAGCCTGCCTGGTAATCTGAAGTTAGTGTTTGAAGATGTGTTGAAAATCGTCAACTTCATCAAGTCCAGAGATGTGAATTCGTGCATATTCAAGGAGCTGTGCAAGGAAATGGGAGAGCAGTATCAAGTTCTGCTCTACCACACCGATGTTCGCTGGTTGTCACGAGGCAAGGTTGTACGTCGAGTCATTGAGCTCCGAAAAGCTGTTCAGGAATTCCTGGAACAAAAAGGATCTCCTTTTGCTACCAAGTTCACCGATAAGGAGTGGCTTGCTCGACTTTGTTACTTGGCTGACATATTTGCGGAGCTGAACAGTGGTAATCTGCAACTCCAGGGCCGAAACACGACTGTCATTGATGCCCATCACACTGTGACTGCATTTCTGGGGAAACTGAGACTCTGGATTCGGCGCTTGGAGAAAAGAGTCATTGCCCAGTTTCCCACCCTAGACCAGTTTGTTGAGGAGAATAGTCATGATACTGGATCACTTCTACAGACCATCAACAAAGAAATGAGCGACCATTTGAAGGGGCTTGAAACAAGCATGCATCACTACTTTCCAGAGAGTGACCAAGAAACAGCCACTCTTCAGTGGATCATTCATCCCTTCTCTGTACCTGATGATGCCATTCATGATGATGATTTCCCTGCAAAGGAGGAGTGGATCACAATGCGAGCCAATGAAGCCTTGAAAATCGAATTCCAAAACCAAAATGCAGATTCCTTTTGGATTTCACGACTACCTGACTCGCCAACTCTGTCCAAGAGAGCCTTGAAGTTGTTGGTATCATTCTCAACAACGTATCTGTGCGAGAAGGGCTTCTCAACTGTGTTGGGTATGAAAACAAAAAAGAGGACTCGCTTGAATGTTGCAAACGATGCCAGGCTGGCACTTTCAACCACGAAGCCAAGAATTCCTAAACTAGTTTCAAGTATGCAACTCCATCCATCCCACTGATGTTCTTGACATCTTTGGTAATAGTCATTAGAGATGCACAATGTTCAAATACAATAAATAAAAGAAAATATCTCAAGTGTTTTAATTTAGCTATATATATCAATAATAACAACATTTTGTGAAAGGGGTAACATGCTTTATGTGGCATGTTAAATTGGGTAACAAGCTGAAAAAGTTTGGGAACCACTGCTATAAGGAATAATGTAAATTAGATTTCTAATCCATTTCAGACCCCCAAAAATACACTTACAAAAGCACTTACATAAACACACTTACATAATTGTTCTAGTTTTGAGCTGTTCGTATCCCAAGGCACCATTGTACAGTGGACCCCCGCTTAACGATCACCTCCAAATGCGACCAATTATGTAAGTGTATTTATGTAAGTGCGTTTGTACGTGTATGTTTGGGGGTCTGAAATGGACTAATCTACTTCACAATATTCCTTATGGGAAAAAATTCGGTCAGTACTGGCACCTGAACATACTACTGGAATGAAAAAAGTTCGTTAACCGGGGGTCCACTGTACTAGACAAAAATGCCCAATTCTCAATTACAATAAGATACTGCAACTACAAATACTGTACTGTAAATAACATGACATATTTCTTAAAAAAGTTTCTGATCAACTTGTTTGTAACAGCTATGGGCAACAATTAGCAAGAAATTCTGGAGTTGTTAGCTGAGAAGCAAAGTGCAGACACTCAAAGAGCCTGCCTGGCACTGCTGGGTAAATGTTAAAACACTAAACTCACCTGGAAAGTAGCCTTCCTGTCCAGTACGCATATTGATGCCAAAAAGCCATCCATCTGGGTTGTCTGGGATTATATTCTGGTTGTGTAGAAACTCTGCTGTTACATGTATGACATCATTAACCTCCATGCTGGGATCATTGTTTCCCGATCCTCTGTAGCTCTGGCGAGCCATATAAACATATACACTCTCCGATGAAGCTTGCATGATTGCTTTGAGGCTGGTTGATCTAATATTGTTCTATGTAAAAATGATCAAGCATGAGCTATTAAGAATTTTATATGATACTCATAACTGTCACACGAAACATTCAGTAATGCTTTGGCGTTATTTTCTGCTAGACAATTCTGATAGTGTTTCAGTATGGAAGTACAATACAGAACTGGATCTAGTTTCTTATATCCTAAAAATTCTTTAACTGTGCCTGAGCACTGTACCGTACTGTATGTATTATTTAAGTTTGGTAAGTAGATTGCAACACATCACTCTATAGGCCACCCTTACTGTACACATTTCTATAAATTTATGCAAAGCTTCAGTAACTTTTTAGCTTTAGAGTGCATATATATTTTTCACACTGATGTGCACGCACATGACAGTATACAATGCACACACACCAAACCTTTTATGTCTTGCATACATTGTGTTGTAGCTGACTCACTTCGCTTTCAAATTTTTTCAAATACACTACTATACAAGAAGAGCACAATATTTGAAAATATTAATAAAGCAGTTAGCAACTGCAGTAATACAATAAATTTAGTATATGCTTTTCAATGAATCATGTATCAATCACACACTCAAGAATGCGCACTTTTTATACATTGCAAATCGAGTACAGGTTTTTGAGGGTGTGATTTCATCTTCATCTTCATCTTGAGCAAGTAGTTATCTGTAAGAAATAAAACAGTTCATAAAGTTGTCTCAGAATACGGATATAACCCCATACAAAAGAAAAAAAATCTCAAATACAGTAACTAGATGGGTTTCAGTTGCTACGTGAGGCGAAAGATGTTCCTTGTATCCTATAAATTCAGTCCCCTGTACCTCAATGTTTTCAAAAGACCTAATAGCTATACTGTACTTCAAAACCTTCAATAGGCAGAAACTGCAGTTTGACTCCCTTAAGAGACCTAGAAACAACAATTTATTCCAAGAGGTTCAGGAATTAGAAATCAACACCCCTCAAGAGACCCATGAGCTTTAGCTCAACACTTCTGAAGCTTAACATAAATAACTTCACCCCAAGTGTCCCAGGAAATTTAGATCAACACCCACTAGAGGAACAGGAGCTGAAACTCAGCCCTGTGATCACTGAAAATACAAGACCAATCAGATGAAACTTGGTTGTTATGTCTATAGTTTAATGTTTATTTGTAATATTAAATTGAGAGAGTTGGACACATTGCAGGGCATTTAGTGGCTTATCTCTGTAAAACTCAGGGCACTTTTTTTTTTCTTTTCAACAAGTTGGTGGTCTCCCACCAAGGCAGGGTGATTCAAAAAGAAAGAAAATCCCCAAAAAGAAAATACTTTCATCATCATTCAACACTTTCACTTCACTCATACATAATCACTGTTTTTGCAGAGGTGCCCAGAACACAACAGTTTAGAAGCATATATGTATAAAGATATACAACATATCCCTCCAAACTGCCAATATCCCAAACCCTTCCTTTAAAGTGCAGGCATTGTACGTACTTCCCATTTCCAGTGCTCAAGTCCGGCTATATAAAAATAACTGGTTTCCCTGAATCCCTTCACTAAATATTACCCTGCTCACACTCCAACAGCTCGTTAGGTCCCAAATACCATTCGTCTCCATTCGCTCCTATCTTACATGCTCATGCATGCTTTCTGGAAGTCCAAGCCCCTTGCCCACAAAACCTCCTTTACCCCCTCCCCCCAACCTTTTCGAGGACAACCCCTACCCCACCTTCCTTCCCCTACAGATTTATATGCTCTACATGTCATTCTATTTTGATCCATTCTCTCTAAATGACCAAACCACCTCAACAACCCCATTCAGCCCTCTGACTAATACTTTTATTAACTCCACACCTTGTCCCAATTTCCACACTCTGAATTCTCTGCATAATATTTACACCACACATTGCCCTTAGACAGGACATCTCCACCGCCTCCAATCGCCTCCTCGCTGCAGCACTTGTTATCCTACAGTATTTAAGAAAAAATGCATTTAAAAAAAATTATTTACTGTAGAAGCTTCAATGCTTAATTTTTTTTTTTTTAAATTTTGTGTAGTAATCAGGTTTAAAATTAGTAATTATCTTCAAAACAGCTAAAGGAAAATGCATAAAAAATAATATGGAGTAGAATTAAGGTAGCACTGAATTACACTAAGTTTAATTTTTCAGTGTGGCATCGTAATTTCTTACTTCTCCAGAAGGGCAGGCATTATATACTTTTTGTTTTTAATAAAACTTACAAAGCTTAAAAAAATCCAAACTTATCGTTATGTAAGATATAATGGCAATAAAAATTTGAGGCCAATATAAAGAGGCAATCTCAAGTTATCAAATGGAAACCAATACCCATTATGTCAAGTTGTGCAATAAAATTGGTAACTTATTGAGAGTCTGAACTCAGTAAGAAAAAGGTATTCTCAATTTATCACACGATTTTTCTGACTATTTACTCCTTACCACTAAAATTAATGTTTTCACTAAAATTCCATTATTTAAGATTTTTATTGTACTTTTCATATGATTATTTCAAAAATAATTTGACAAAATAGATAAAAGGGCACCTTCTGTACACTGCCCAATACATAAGAACAAGAGAATGAAGGAATAAGTGGTGAAGCAGGCCTACTGGCCCATGCTAGGCAGGTCCAATTCACACCCACCTCACCCACTCGCATATCTGCCGGTATATATTACCAAGGTTTATACCACCTGTCCAACATATATTTAAAGCTATCCAAAGTTCTTGCCTCTATGATACTACCTAGGAGTATGTTCCCTTCATCAACACCTCTACTGCCAAACTAGTATTACCCAGTATCCTTTCTAAATCTCTCCAACTTCAATTCATTACTGTGAGTCCAGTAATAATAATAATACAGTGGACCCCTGGATATTGTAGTCATCAGATTTTGCAATACTCAGTAATTGTGACATTTTTCCGTCAAAATATTGGCTCAGTGATCGTCATTTACCTCGGTAATAATCGATTGTTCATCCCGAATGCATACAAGCGGCCCAAGTGGCCCCACACACCAATCCACACCATTCACAGTCAGTCTGCCATTGTTTATCAGTGAGTGACCGTCACCCCACGCGTTCATATGATACATTTTGTAATATTCCATTCTTTTTAGTGCTTGCAACTGCTAAATAAGCCACCATGGGCCCAAAGAAAGTTCCTAGTGCCAGCCAGCCCTTTGGTAAAGGGCTAAGAAAGAGGGGAGAATGTGCCTTCTTCAGTGATTCTGCAATATGTACAATAAAGTGTAGCATTAACAGTATAGCAAATAAGTTAAGCAATTAATTGATAGAAAAAGGACAACATGAAACTGACTCCTCCAATATTGTTGGAGGTATATAGGGCAACACTGACAACACCGCTGCCTCTGCTGCTGCCATCACCACCACTATGTAAAGCTTATCTTTCAGTGGCCCTTGTACACCCAACAACAAACAACACACCACCACTTGTCATATACGTAATGACATATTTTATTCATTCTAGAGTATATATCATGTTTCTATATTATTAACATCATTTATTATGTCATATTAGATGAACTATGCTAGATAAATAAGCTGTAGAGTTCATATTAGTGTCATATTAAAGGACTATCTAGTCCCGGCTCCAAACACACTCCCCTGCTGCCGCCACAATTCCTAACATACGCCAGAAACAGATCTCTCTGGAACACTTTTTTGAGCGACAGGGGTCCAGTGACTCTCAAGCTGGTCCTAGTGGCATTAAAAAACAAAGGGAAGTAACCCCGGAAAAGGACTTGGTACCTGAAGTCTTCATGGAAGGGGATTCACCTTCCAAATAGTAATTTCCCCATCCTCTCCTCTCCTCCTGTCTTCAACACACTAATAAGAGTCTTCAGTAAAGACAAGTGTCACGTTATTGTTTTATTCTTCATGTCTCTTTGTTTTCTGTGTAGGTAAATGCCTATTTCATGTAAAAAACTTTTTTTTTTTTAATGCTTTTTGGGTGTCTGGAATGGATTAATTGGATTTACATTATTTCTTATGGGGAAAATGAATTCGGAAATTGTCAAATTTGGTTTTAGTCACAATCTCTGGAACGGATTAATTACGATAACCGGGGGTCCACTGTATCTTTATTTACTACAAGTACAGGCCTAGCCAACATCAATGACATACTACTCTATAGAAAGCCGCTTGTTATGCTGAGCATTCTGGGCAAATTAGGTCAGTTTTTTCCCAGGATGCAACCCACACCAATCGACTAACACCCAGGTACCCATTTTTTATACTAATGGGTGAACATGGACAGCAGGTGTCTTATGGAAACATGTCCCTAATGTTTTCCAGCCGTACCAGAAGAGATTCGAACTCCAGACCTCAGTGTGTGAGCTGAGTGCGCTAGCGATCGAACTAGTAACAGGAGTCCAAAAGTTATTTTACAACTCTATAAATTGCTAATAAGGCCTCTCTTAGATTATGCTGCTCTATTTTAATCACTATAGTACATAACGGATATAAGTGGATTGGAGAATATACAGAAAAGACAAAATTAATCCACTGTATAAGGAATCTTTCATATGAGGATAGACTGAGAACCTTGAACATTCACTCTCTTGAGACACAGAATGAGGGGGAGATATCACTGAAGTATATAAGTGGAAGATGGGTATAAACAAAGGTGATATAAATAAAGTACTGAGGACATTGAATCAAATAAGAACTAAAAACAACAGATGTAAATTAAATAAATTTAGATTTAGAAAGGATGTAGGAAAGTAATGGTTTTCAAACAGAGTTGTCATTGCATGAAACTATCTGCCAAGTAGGGTAACAGAAGCTAAAACCTTGGGTAACTTTAAAAACAGATTAGATAAACATATGAATGAGAAGGGCTTGGTTTGAATAATAATTGAGGTACTGAAGCAAATTCTTGGGTAGCTTTGGGAAAAAGTTTGACAAACAGGTGGGTGGGAATGGTTGGTTTTGAGAAAGACCTGCCCTGTATAGGCCAGCAGGCATGCTGCAGTATTCCTCAATTCCTATGTTCTTAAATCCCCTTTGGTTATTCCCTTCTTCCATTTGTACAATTCACTCATATTTTCCCTCATTTTATGCCTTTCCAAAGAATCTAAGTTAAGATTAAGATAAGATTTGTTCAGATCTTTAACCTAGAGGGTTAGCCACCTAGGATAACCCAAGAAAGCCAGTGCATCATCAAGGACTGTCTGTCTTATTACCACTTGGGTGCTTTAATCTCGTCTCCCAGGATGTGATCCACACCAATCGACTAACACCCAGGTACCTACTTACTGCTAGGTGAACACGGACAGCAGGTGTAAGGAAACATGCCCAGCATTTCCACCCATTCTGGGAATTGAACTATGGGCACTCAGTGTGAGGCAAGCCTATTTTTTCATAGGAATTGAGGTTTTAGTATGCTTTTAACCCAAATTTTGATCCTATGGGCCTTTTTTTTTTAAATTTAACAAACAAAATTTTTCAAAATAATAATGACGACAATGACTATGACAACGACGGCAAGAACAATACTGATGATGATGATCATCATCATTATCATCATCATCATCATGAAATTGTAATAACATGATTGCAAACAAATCATGGAAAGGGAAGGGCTTGAACCCATGGCGAGTCCTAAAACTCACAGGCAAGTAAATTAATTCAAGTATACACAAATACAGTTACACATAGATTATCATACAAAGCAGCATATGTCAAGAACGTATTATTACTATTAAAGAACACACTGAATTCCAAAATGAATAAAATAATTAAGTGTATCTGGCCAACACTGCTGAAAGCATCTGGTATAATTGTTAAACTATTAAATGGAGTTCTGGTTGTTAAGATAAGATTTTGTTCAGACTTTTAACCTAGTGGCTTAGCCACCCAGGATAACCCAATAAAATCCCTGCATCATCACAGATTGTCAGTCTTATTTCCACTGGGGTCCTCTAATCTTCTCCCCCAGAGTGCAACTCACAACAGTTATTACCCCAAGTACTTACTGCTAGGTGAACAGGAGGCAAAAGATGTAAGGCTACATGCCCAATGTTTCTCCCATGCTGGGGAGTGATTCCCAGTCTCCTGGTGTGTGACCTGAGGATGCTGCCAACACCGAAACACCAACGTCAAAGACCTGGGAGTGATCATGTCGGAGGATCTCACCTTCAAGGACCATAACATTGTATCAATCGCATCTGCTAGAAAAATGACAGGATGGATAATGAGAACCTTCAAAACTAGGGAGGCCAAGCCCATGATGACACTCTTCAGGTCACTTGTTCTATCTAGGCTGGAATATTGCTGCACACTAACAGCACCTTTCAAGGCAGGTGAAATTGCTGACCTAGAAAATGTACAGAGAACCTTCACAGCACGCATAACGGAGATAAAACACCTCAATTACTGGGAGCGCTTGAGGTTCCTAAACCTGTATTCCCTGGAACGCAGGCGGGAGAGATACATGATTATATACACCTGGAAAATCCTAGAGAGACTAGTACCAAACTTGCACACGAAAATCACTCACTACGAAAGCAAAAGACTTGGCAGACGATGCACCATCCCCCCAATGAAAAGCAGGGGTGTCACTAGCACGTTAAGAGACCATACAATAAGTGTCAGGGGCCCGAGACTGTTCAACTGCCTCCCAGCATACATAAGGCGGATTACCAACAGACCCCTGGCAGTCTTCAAGCTGGCACTGGACAAGCACCTAAAGTCGGTTCCTGACCAGCCGGGCTGTGGCTCGTACGTTGGTTTGCGTGCAGCCAGCAGCAACAGCCTGGTTGATCAGGCTCTGATCCACCAGGAGGCCTGGTCACAGACCGGGCCGCGGGGGCGTTGACCCCCGGAACTCTCCCCAGGTAATCCCCAGGTAAGGCAGGTTTTGGCCAATTGTATGCGTAAAAGCTAAAAACTATGAAAAACCCTGGAAAGACAGAGCAGTATTCTAGCATCATTTAATAGACTACTATATAAAGAAAAAATCAGTTACTTATCTATTATATAGACATTTCTGCAACTGTCATCTATTTTCTCTTCTTAATGACATTATTGCCATATCAATAAACCAGTTAAGAATATTTTCACAATACAAAAAACTACTCTCCTGCCTTTCTGCAGCTGCAGCTTGACTCTAAATCTGTTTTATATTATAACTGGCCTTGAGATGATTAGGTAATCCAGTCCATTGAAAATAAATTACTCTGATTTCTTTGTCTTATCCTAATTAATTTACACTAAATATAACTGTACTTATGTGTACATGTACCTAAATAAACTTACTTATTAATGGCTGCATAACAGATTGTTGAGGCTGGCTACCTATTATAGGCACAACACTTCATACCTCTCTCGAATTTTTATTTGCCTAAATTATTTTTTTAAAAGGCTTAGATACCGTATAAAGAATATTTGGGATATATATATAATTAGTGGATATAAGTTTGGTCAGTAAATGTATTCTGAGTTGACAGTGACATGATGAGTAATAGATGGATGTCAGTAGCTGAAGTCTCAAGTGGTCTAGTGATGAGCTTTATAACCACAAGCTTCATATAAACACCCTCTACTGGCATGAGTCCACCCGCTACACATGACCAAAATCCATGTCAGTACTGGCGAAGTAATAATCAATCAAGTAATTTGTTTACCTGTCTGGAATGGCAGTGAGGAGAGGTCAGTTGATGGAGGCACTGGTATGGCCCTGTCAGCCTCCCTAGGGGCTAGCCACTCCTGCTGGGGCCCTAGACACACCCTGCACCGCTTCCTCCACTACATTCACAACCTACATTCATTTAAGTCACTGGATAATGATATATCCTGAGACGAGGCCCTCACCCCATCAACCAAAATAATGAAGCAGACACAAGTGTCAGCAGCGCCACACTCGCCTCTACCACCAACTACTTCAAACCATCGCGGGAGATGACACCCACTTCTACCCTCTAGTCTCTCATATTGTACACCTTACACCAGTTATTTGTGATCTGAATGCCTTCATCTCACTAACAGACAATTCGTGATGCCAGGAGATGCTCGTACGAAAGCATAAAGCGACAGTTATGTGTATATGTTACGTGGAGGAGGAGTCATAGAAAGCGTGATGACTGAACAGTAGGAAGGAGAATGGTGTTATCTGGCACCAGCGGAAATGTTAGTGGCACTCTCACTATCATCACATCCTACCTTACTACACTCTCACTCACTTATTATCACTACCATAATGACATTCAAGGAGAAGCGCTAAACCCGCTTGGGCCATACAGTTCCCGAAAATTGGTAATAAACCAGGCATGGAGGACTGAAAGTATATCGATATGTACAATATGGATAAAAGGACACACATAAGGTATAAATAACAAAAAAAGGCACAATACCGTGACTGGAACGATACACAAATAACCCGAAAAGGAGAGGAGGGGTATATATAGGCATGAGGTGGCAGTAGTAGTAGTGGTGGAGGTAGAAGCAAGTAGTAGTGGGGTATCTTAGGAAAACAGAGACAAGATTTTCACAGTATCATTCCTAACACTCAGATATGTTGATAATATTTTAGTTATATATCCCAGAAGACCTAACATACAACGACTTCCTTCACAAAATCAACAACGTCGAAACTATTATCAAATTAACTCTTGAAGTGGACAACGAAGGCCAAGTACCATTTCTTGATGTCCTTCCTAACAAACACATCTTTGCCCTCAGAGTCTACAGAAAGCTCACAAATTAAGATAATCTTACTCATCTCTACTTACAAATCAACACTAGCACCTAGAGAAGTGTCGTCATCGGGTTTTTCCTAAGAGTTATCCGTGTCTCTGGCATCGAATTCCTAGAAGAATTCCATGACATTACCCATTCCTTCACACGCTTACATTTTTCTCCCTGTTTTATACATGTTTACAAGCATAAAGCAAACACTATACTTCACCATTGACGAAGTTAAATCAAGTTTATAAAATTGCTCACAACTACCAACCTTTATAGAATAATATCTCATTTACATTATAACAATAAGGTAAAAAGGACCCCAATGGAAATAAGTCACTCTGTCTGACCTTTTTGGGTTATCCTAGGTTGTCTACACATATGCTGTTATGTATAATAATCTATGTAACTGTATTTGTGTATATCGTGTCATTACGATTTCGTGAGCTCTGAATGAACTTACTTACAGTGTCCAGAATATCTTGCTGCCAATTTTGTCAAGGCTGGGAACCAAAGCAATCATAGTACTAGGGGGAGAGATCACAACTTTGTAGTACCCACAGTCAGTGGCCAGGCTTCAAACACCTTTTATTGGACAGCAATAAAGAAGCAGAACAAACTGCCTGCACATGTCATATCATGAACCTGTTCAAGAAGACAGCCAAAAGGTACCTAATGAATGCAACGACAGAAAGGCAGGAGTGATTTCTGGTATAACTAACATAAATGTGCCTATTACTGTGATCTGTCTTCTCTTTAATGTAAATGTAGATAACTCAGTTTACCTTAGTTCTAGTATATCTCCTTTTACAGTATAAAACAATAAAGTATTACAAGTACCCCAATGGAAATAAGTATGACTTTATTGGGTTATCTTAGGTAATCTACACATGTGCTGCTATGTATAAAAACTTATGTAACTGTATTTATGTGTACCTGTACCTATTTAACTGCATTTATGTGTACCTGTACCTAAATAAACTTACTTACCTGGCTGGAAAAGTGACCGTAATAGGTAGCAGGTCCTTGATTGAAGCATCTGAGTGTTCTATTAGCCACATCTTCATTAGAAACTTCACCAGGAAGAAAGATTCCCACAACACAGTCAGTGAAGGATGCAATAGGATCGCAGGATAGACTGGGAGGAATCTTTCCATAAGTATTCACAACACAAATATACTTATGACCAAGAGAACATCAGCAATGCTTGTATCATACAAAAATCTAAAGAGGGCCACATTAGAAATAAGTTTGTCAGCCTTTTTTTCGGGTTATCCTATGTAATTTTCATATTTGTCACTATGTATAATAATTGTGTTTATGTGTACCTGTACCTAATAAAATTGCTTACCTAATCTTATGCACTTGAGAACACAAAAATTATCTACATAAAATCAAACAAGGATGGATGTCACTGTATGAAAGTATTCTTAATTACTACTTTCAACACCATAAAACATAAGGCTGGCTACTGTTACATATTGTAATTTCATAATCTCAATGTAATCTTGCAAGTAAATAAATTTTGTTTGTTTACCACACGTACCGCCATGTGCTACCTCTCGGCTGCCATGAGATAAAATAATTATGTCGAGTTTAATCACTTTTAACCCGAGAAAGGGTCAGCAGCCCTTTACCAGCATCAAGACCATAACCTTGAAGTGTGTTTAACAAATATATACCAGGTGCCAAAGACTGGAAGTGGGTGGTCATATATATATAATTCAAACATAAATTACTGTGAGCACTGAAATTCGTCACAATTGTATTTCCTGAAGAACAGGTAAACAAAGATAGTTGATATTTGGAAGATACTGCATGACTGGAAGCAACTTTGCATATCGATTCTCACTTATGCATTCATATTACACAAGTTACTTGGTATTAAATGTGAATGTTTGAGCTCTGGTGGCCTGGTGGTTAACGCTCTCGCTTCACACGGTGAGGGTCTGGGTTCGATTCCCAGCCAGAGTAGAAACATTGGACGTGTTTCTTTCCACCTGTTGTCTATGTTCCCCATCAGTAAAATGGGTACCTGGGTGTTAGTCGACTGGTGTGGGTCGCATCCTGGGACACTGACCTAAGGAGGCCTGGTCACAGACCGGGCCGCGGGGGCGTTGACCCCCGGAACTCTCTCCAGGTAAACTCCAGTTGTTTGACATTATATGTGGACGTTCAGCCAGGCAGATAGGAAGATTGAAGGTATCAGGACGATAAAGGTTATTAAAATTAACACTTCATGTTCTCTGACATATACCTGGAGGGTATTCTCGATTTATTAGAAAATTTAAAATAAATTGTTATTGATAGATCAAATACTGTTCATTTACTATATCTATACTCATATGTAACTGACTAGAAATTAAAGTATAATAATAATAATAATAATAATAATAATAATAATAATAATAATAATAATAGGCTTTATATTGACATACAGTAATTGTTTTAAACAATTTATGTAATCATACGTGTGTGTGTATGTTCACCTAATGTACTCACCTAGTTGTGGTTGCAGGGGTCGTTTCATGGCTCCTGGCCACTCCTCTTCTCTGGTCGCTACTAGGTCTACTTTCTCTTTGCTCCATGAGCTTTATCGACCCTCTTCTTACAGCGATGTATGGATCCTGCGTCCACTGCATCACTTTCCAGATTGTTCCACTTCCTGACAACTCTGTGACTAAAGAAATACTTCCTAACATCCTTGTGAAATATCTGAGTTTTCAACTTGCAGCTGTGACCCCTTGTTGCTGTGTCTCATCTCTGAAACATTCTGTCCCTATCCATCTTGTCAGTTCCCCTCAGTATTTTATATGTCGTTATCATATGTTCCCTAACCCTCCTGTCCTCTAGTGTCGTCAGGTTAATTTTCATTAACCTTTCCTGTTAAGGCATACCGCTTAGTTCCGGAACTTCTCTAATTTATTGATGTGTTTGACCACAAGTTGGTACCATACTGGTGCTGCATACTCCAGTATGGTCCTGACGTACACAGTGTCTTGAATGACTCCTTACTTAGATGTCGAAAAGCTATTCTTAGGTTTGCCATACGCCCATATGCTGCAGCAGTCATCTGGTTGATGTGCTCGATATGAAAAAATGTAAAGCAAATAGAAAGAGGTTTTCACAAGTTATCACATGGACACCAATATCCCAATTTCTTCAATAAAATTAGCAAATTAGGATATACAAAGCCCCAAACTTATTCAAACCTTCCACTTAGAATATTATTATCATGGGAGCGCTAAACCCGTAGGGATTATACAGCGCTTGTGGGGAGGATGGAAGGTATTCAGGCTTAATTCAGGGAATTGGAGCACAGATCCAATCCCATAGATCAAGAGCCCCTCACTAGCATCAAGGAAGCTCCCTTGAGGGGTCTTCCACTTAGATATACTAACCATACCACGAGTGGAGATAGAACCTGTGATCAGAGTCATAAAACTCCAGACCGACACGTTAGCCATTGGGCCAGCTGACTACAATAAGATTCATCCAACTAGGTATATTTATACACCATAGGAAGGTTAGCATAGGCCACACTGTGACCACAAATGCAAGTTTTTTACAGAAGAATCTCCCGCCAGCGTGGTCGTTACGAACTCTAGCTCAAGTCCCCTCAAAGCCGTCATCATGACTCACGAAATCGTTATGACACGATTACAAACAAATCATACCACGGGTGGGGATAGAACCCGCGATCAGAGAGTCTTAAAACTCTAGACCGACGCGCTAGCCACTGGGTTCACTATGTATATGAAAAATAAAAGTGTTTAAAAAAATGCCAGTTTTTCAATTTTTCTCGGTTATCGTTTCAAAGTCCAGTTATATTTAAAATTCTCTACAATACTAGAAGAAAAAAATTATTATATATATTTTTAAGAAAGTACAATTTAATCAAAATATTTTAGGAAAATTGATAAATTGACACATACAAAGCCCAAATTCTGTACAGAAATACTTTCAGTTAAGATTTACTAGCACTTCTGGGTTTGAACCCGACCAAAAGAAGCATTCTCAAGTTATTACATATAAAATTACTTAATAAAACTGGCAATTTAAATTTCACAGAGCTGAAAGTGAAAGAGAAGCTTTCTTTTAATAAAGCCCACCAATACTGTAAGTTTGAAGCCTATCAGAAAAGGCATTCTTCAGTAATTGCTCTGTATCCAACGACTGCAAGTTTACACCAAAACATTGTAAACGGTCATAGTACGTCATTTATTATTATTATTAAAGATTCGCTGGTATTCTCCCGTCCCGGGCCTTTTCCAAGTGGTGGCCCAGCCTTGGCTCCCTCTTTAGGGAGTGTC